AAATGCTTTACTGTCAAACAATAATTCATGTGTAGAAGATAATGGATTAATTTGTCTTATCTTTAGTTTTAATGTTATTTAGTTTATACCCACAGCAGACTTTTGGCTAAAATACAGGAAGCATTAGTGAATACTGAATGGTAATATAATATTTTAAAAACATTAAAATGATAATTATTCTCTAATTTCCTTAAAAAGAGTATTCACCACTTCTGTAAATTGCATGCATTTGATCACACATCAAGCTGTCTAAAAATGAGAGATAAAAAGAGGGAAAAAAAAGATTATATAAAATTTAGCTTTTCATATATTAGCAATAAATAATTTTTACACCCGCAGTTTGTTATTTCTGGAGACGTGTTTGTAAATACCAGCCTGTAACCTTGTTTCTTAATTGTTCGGAAAGAAATCACAAAAATGAGAAAAATAAGCCTGTTGATAATTTTGAAGAATAAAAGATAGGAATTTGAAATATCAAATTATAAAAGTAGTTTTTACCTGTTTTTAATATAACACATAGTTTAATTTCATTATGCATTTTAATATACATTTGGTCCTCAAATATAAGAAAATTCATTTATAATTTATTTGTTCTATTAAAATAAACTTTAATAATATTCTGACCCAAAATATAATGTGTTTTAAATTTAAAGGCATTTCTTCTGCCACACAAAAATGTTGCCCTGATTTTTAAAATGTCCAAATGGTACCCTTGAAATTACATTTTACTTAGAGAATTCATGAATCAAATAAAGTTTGATTTTTATGGATGAAATTTAGGCCCTGAGAGATGAATTGTCTTGGATGTTTCTACTGTACTAAGATCCAGTTGAGTTTTATATTCTGTCTCTGTTATTCTCTCTTACCCCTCTAGAGTTCTCTGAACTTTAAGGTCCTCTAGGACAGATATAAGTCTAGAGAGTCTTAGGTTCTCTTGAATTGGCAGGTGTAATACTTGTATTTAGTAAGAATGCAATAAAATTTTTGTCGAATTTGATAATATTAATAGAAGTGTAGTTGAGTATAAATGTTGTGTAATATTTTTAAAAAAACCATTATTGAAGGTTCCTTCTTTCTGTTGGTG